TTTTTGTAAGCAGTCTTTTTTTCTTCGCCCCCAGAACTGTCAAAGGCTTGCATTTGAACTTTGCCCCGCCCTCCAAGCCAGGGCTGTCCATGGCTTTGTCCATGATGCTTGGCCGGCACTTCCCTAAGCTGTTTGGCTTCACTGACTTTGATATTCAGCGATTATTTCCCTGCATGGAGAAACTGGTGGTAGAATTCATCAAAGAGACTGGCTACATGCATATCCAGGCCACCAAGCCTGACACTGTGGGTAAGAACTTGGAGAAGATGGTTTCAAGCAGCATAACCCAGTTCAAGTCTGACTGGGGAACTTGGTTGCATTTTCCTGTACTTAATATACTTGTAATCTCCCTTCAAATTATTTTATTTGCTCAAGATTCCTAAAATATTTTGTGTACATTGAATTATATTTTACTTTCTGACCCTTGAGGTCGAGGGCTGAATGACTCTCCAGTGGGTCTAGCTGCCTACATTCTGGAGAAGTTCTCCACATGGACGAGCCATGACTTCAGGAACCTGGATGATGGAGGACTCACACGGTGAATACAGCAGAATATTAGAATATGTCCCACTAATATTAGTGGAACCCCACCCCAACCGGTGGGAGCAGATGGTTGCCCCTCTCCTGAGCCTGGTTGTGCTGGAGTTTTCTTCCTGTCAAAAGGGAGCTTTTCCTTCCCACTGTTGCCAAAGTGCTTGCTCATAGGGGGTCATCTGATTGTTGGCGTTTTCTCTGTATGTATGTACCTTGAGGCGACTGGTGTTGTGATTTGGTGCTGTATAAATAAAATTGAATTGAAGGTTATAAGAAGTTGTGAACTTAAGTAGTAGCATGTGTATTAGCAGTGCTATCTATTCTGAAATAGGCTTGTTTCCTTAGTTTTTCAGTTGTCAGTAGTCTTATATCAGTGGGGTCATGTGTTGCAGGAAGTTCTCTCTAGATGACCTGCTGACAAACGTCATGATCTATTGGACCTCTGGCTGCATTATCTCCTCCATGAGGTTCTACAAGGAAAACTTTGGCCAAGGTCTTGATGCTCCACATGCAAAGTAAGTGAGAACAAATGCCAAATTCCCATAAAGCACATCAGCAACATCTTATTGGTTGAAAGGTGTTTGTTGTTAACAGTCTTCAACAGCTCTGTGCCACCCAACTTTGTCATTTAAAAACCTAATTTTGAAATATTCAGAATGACTTGTTTAGTAAAATCTAATGCTGATTCACAACTGTCACCGTCTCCTCCCAGGATACCAGTCTATGTCCCCACGGGTTTCGCCTGCTTTCCCAACGAGTTGATGCACACGCCCAAGCTGTGGGTCAAACAGAAATACCGTAAACTTGTGACCTTTACTCCCATGGACCGCGGTGGTCATTTTGCTGCTATGGAAGAGCCCGAGCTGATGGCAGAGGACATCCAGAAGTTCACAAAGATTGTGGAAGGGAAGGTGAAAGAGTAGAGGATGGACTGACAAATACAGAAGTATGAATAGACATCAGCTGGGACAAAGTTCTGAGCAGTAAGTGGACATACTTCATCTAGAATCAGAGTCTAAGCTTTGTATTTCTTATCTGAAGTGGATTCTGTAAGATAGGATGGCTCTCTAAGTGACACTATGATAAAGTCATATGCAGTGTTAATGGTGAAATAATGAGTGGTGGCTGAAATTGAAAATTTGTTGAGAGGTTGGGTTACTATGAAAATCACAGCTTGTTTTCAATCTACTGTTTAGAATTTAAGGCTACACCTTTCATTCTTAAACTTGCAGTTTATTTTTATGAAATTTATGGAAAAGTTGGACGTAGTCTCTGGTGAAAACTAGAGCTTAAACCTGCATTCTTGCTAAAGGCCAGCAGGGGGTGTCAAATCTGATTAAAGAAATGATCCTGGTTGTATAGAAGTCTATGGAAAAACCGCACAGCTTCTCACTTGATACATGCACTCAGTAAAAACTTTACTGATAGGCTTTTGGTGTCAACTGAAGGTTTCATGTCTTGTTAAATATAAAATGATACCATCTTTGCATTCTCTTTGATCTACTTGGAGTAAAGTAGGTAACAAAACAAGGTAAAATCGCACAGCTGCAATAATGATTGTGCAGTCTCTCAGTTTCTCAGTCAGATTTACCCTGCCCAATGATGTCTGGTTTCAAAACATCAAGATGGCAATAGTTGCGAGGTTGAAGTCAAGGTTTAAAATAGTTACAAAGTAGTGGGTGATGTGACAGTGGTTAGATCCATCTTTTATGTCTGTGATGTCTCAGTCGTCCAGGTCATCATAGTCTAAGGAGCTTGGAAAGAAAAGCGTCTTTCTGCAACTTCCCACTCCATGAATCCAGGGGTCCGTTCCCTAGTTTCTAACTTCCTTACAGCATCTCTCAGCCTCGTAGTTGTGAGAACAGTTTCTAAGCAGCTGCAGATGGGAGGTTAGGGGGCACATGGTGGGATTGTGTTGACAGCATAAACAAGGTGCCAGGCATTCCTCTGACTGATAGCGCGAAACCTCTGCACTTAAGCCACAACAATAATAACACTTGATTGCCTTAAAGCTTCAGGTTATGTTTTAATTTTTTTTTCAGAGTCATTTAAAACTAACTTGGAAGTTGAAAACCTTTGAAGTCAGTCGTCTGTTGAGACATTCCACAACTTCTTACGCAGATGATCCTTTACTGCCTTGGAGTTACTTGCCAGGGTCTGTAACGTGCATCAGATTTACATCTTGTGTCAGTTAGCTTTTGATTGGCGGCAGTTTACCCCACCTTGATGTTGCTGCAAGTTAATTTAAAATATATATTTTACTATCATGACTAGAAATTCCTCATTCGAGGCCTAACAATATAGTGATAGTGCTGCAAAACGAGTTAAATCACAATCAGAGCTCCTGATGTCTCTTTAAGAGTTTCCTTGTATATCTGCTGTTGCCTTTAAAAGTCAATAAAGATGTCAAATTCAGAACTGTAAGCTGCAATTTTGTGTATGTTGCCTTTCCAAAATCACCAGACTGACCTCTGGCTCCATTTTAAACCCAATAAAACTGACGCTGCTTTAAATTTCTGTATTTCAGTTTCAGTTTTTGACTCTCTGACACAGCTCCACTGCTAAAGACTCGTTCTGAGAAGTATGTGTAAACTTTACTGTGTGTTTGCACGTTTCTGAAGTTTCTTCTGTGTAGAAATGTACGAAAGCCACAGACCCAAACTGGCTCCCAGTCTGCAGCTCATTTTGCAGTTCTAGGATTCTGTAATTCAGACGATGTTTAAAATGTCCCACATGTCTACACAGTCTGGACGTGTGATAATTCAAGTTGTGGTTGGAAATGGTAGCTAATGGGAGTGTTGGTTACATTACCACTTTGTCCAAAATTAACTTTATTGTAATTGTGCATAAGATTTTATTATTTAACAAGTTGGAGTGCCTTTAAAAAGCTGTTATTCAAGGTGGTCTTTGGTTAAGATGTGAAGCCTGAAAACTGCAACCTGGGATTAAATATTTAACAGTTTGCAAACAAACTCAAAAGGACTAAATTATATATTTAGTTGTTAACAATGAGAAAACAAGTAGCCCAGATTGTTTTGTTTTATTCCAAATCCGTGCTTTTTGGCTAAAACTGAGCTTCATTGTTTGTTGTAATTATAATTGTGTTCTTCAGTAAGCAACCCAAGTCCAAATGTCTTTGGCTCTAGTGCAGGGGT